AAATTGAAAAATAAAAAATTTAAGAAACCAAAAATTGAGACAACGACAAAGAAAAGTGGAAAGACACATAAAACGAAAAATAGAAAAACCGAGAAACAAGAAAAAAATTGAAAATTTGAAGAAACTAAAAATTGGAAGTAAACATTGAGAAACGAAAAATACAAAAATTCGAAGAAAGGAAAAATTAAATCCAAAAATTAAAAAATGGTTAAATTAGAAAATCTAAAAATTAGAAAAGCGAAAACATGGAAGTTCATAAAATTGCAAATCAAAAAAGTGAAGAAAAGAAAAATTGAAAAATCAAGAAATAAAAACACAGATGAATTGAAACAGTGAAAAATTACATCTAAAAATTCAAAAATCAAAAAATTGAAGAAACGACAAACAAAAAAAATCGAAAAAACGGAAAATTGGCTCCGAAAGTTAAAAACTGGATAAATTGAAAAATCGAAAAATTGAAAATTCAAAAAATTGCAAATCCAAAAGTGAAGTTTAATGAAAAATTGAAAAATCAAGAAACAAAAAAACATAAATTGAAGAAATGAAAACTTCCATCTGAAAATAGAATCATCGAAAATTGAAGAACGAAATGAAAAATTTTAGAAACGAAAAATTGAAGAAATGAAAAATTACAAACCGAAAATTGAAGAAAGCAAAAATTGAAAAAATGGCAAAAAATTGATAAATTGAAAAATCGAAAAAGTGAAGATACGATCAATTCAAAAATCAAGAAAAAAAAAACAGATAAAATGAAGAAATGAAAAATTACATTTTGAAAATTGAAAAATCAAAAAGTTGTAGAATCGAATAATTGAAGAAACGAAAATTTGAAAAATCGAAAATTTAAGAAACCAAAAATTGAGAAAACGACAAAGAAAAGTGGAAAGACCGAAAAAGCGAAAAATAGAAAAACCGAGAAACAAGAAAAAAATTGAAAATTTGAAGAAACGAAAAATTGGAAGTAAACATTGAGACATCGAAAAATAAAAAAATTCGAAGAAAGGAAAAATTAAATCCAAAAATTCAAAAATGGTTAAATTGGAAAATCTAAAAATTAGAAAAGCGAAAAAATGGAAGTTCATAAAATTGCAAATCGAAAAAGTGGAGAAAGGAAAAATTGAAAAATCAAGAAACAAAAAAACAGATAAATTGAAACAACGAAAAATTACATTTAAAAATTCAAAAATCAAAAAAATTAAACAAAAAAAAAAAGAAAAAAAATGGATAAATTGAAAAATCGAAAAATTGGTAGTTCAAAATATTGGAAATCGAAAAGTGAAGTTTAATGAAAAATTGAAAAATCAAGAAACAAAAAAACATAAATTGAAGAAATGAAAACTTCCATCTGAAAATTGAAAATCAAAAAGTTGTAAAATAAAAAAATTCAAGAACCAAAAAATTGAAGATCCGAAATGAAAAATTTTAGAAACGAAAAATTGAAGAACCGAAAAATTTTAAAAACAAAAAATTACAAACCGAAAATTGAAGAAAGCGAACACTGAAAAAATAGCAAAAAATTGATAAATTGAAAAATCGAAAAAGTGAAGATACGAAAAAGTGAAAAAAAAAAAGAAAAAAAAACATACTGAAAATTGCAAAAAACAAAAATTGAAAAAATGACAAAAAATTGATAGATTGAAAAATCGAAAAAGTGAAGATGCGAAAAATTCAAAAATCAAGAAAAAAAACATAAATTGAAGAAATGAAAACTTCCATCTGAAAATTGAAAATCAAAAAGTTGTAAAATCAAAAAATGCAAGAACCGAAAAATTGAAACATCGAAAATTGAAGAAACGAAATGAAAAATTTGAAAACGAAAAATTTGAAAAACCGAAAATTGAAGGAACGAAAAATTGAAGCACAGAAAAATTTAAAAAACGAAAAATTACAAACTGAAAATTGCAAAAAACAAAAATTGAAAAAATGAGAAAAAATTGTTAGATTGAAAAATCGAAAAAGTGAAGATGCGAAAAATTCAAAAATCAAGAAAAAAAACATAAATTGAAGAAATGAAAACTTCCATCTGAAAATTGAAAATCAAAAAGTTGTAAAATCAAAACATTCAAGAACCGAAAAATTGAAACATCGAAAATTGAAGAAACGAAATGAAAAATTTTAGAAACGAAAAATTTAAAAACGAAAAATTTGAAAAACCGAAAATTGAAGAAACGAAAAATTGAAGAACCGAAAAATTTTAAAAACGAAAAATTACAAACCGAAAATTGAAGAAAGCGAACACTGACAAAATAGCAAAAAATTGATAAATTGAAAAATCGAAAAAGTGAAAAATAAAGAAAAAAAAAACATAAATTGAAGAAATGAAAACTTCCATCTGAAAATTGAAAATCAAAAAGTTGTAAAATCAAAAAATGCAAGAACCGAAAAATTGAAACATCGAAAATTGAAGAAACGAAATGAAAAATTTTAGAAACGAAAAATTGAAGAACAGAAAAATTTAAAAAACGAAAAATTACAAACTGAAAATTGAAAAAAGCAAAAATTGAAAAAATCACAAAAAATTGATCAATTGAAAAATCGAAAAAGCGAAGATACGAAAAATTGAAAAATCAAGGAAAAAAACATAAATGAAAACTTCCATCTGAAAATTGAAAATCAAAACGTTGTAAAATCAAAAAATTCAAGAACTGTAAAATTGAAGAAACGAAATGAAAAATTTTAGCAACGAAAAATCTGAAAAACCGAAAATTGAAGAAACGAAAAATTGAAGAACCGAAAAATTTTAGAAACGAAAACTTTTAATAACGAAAAATTGCAAACCGAAAATTGAAGAAAGCGAACACTGAAAAAATAGCAAAAAATTGATAAATGGAAAAATCGAAAGTGAAGATACGAAAAATTGAAAAATCAAGAAAAAAATAGACAAACTGAACAAATAAACAATTACCTCTGAAAATTGAAAAATCGAAAAGTTGTAAAATCGAAAAATTGAAGAAACGAAAATAATCGCAAATTTAAGAAATGAAAAATTGGGAGTAAAAATTGAGAAATCGAAAAAATACACAAACGAAAAATTAGATCCAAAAAGCGAAAAATTTAAAAATTTCAAAAACGGCAAACAAAAAAAGTAGAAAAATTGAAAAAATCAAAAATGCATAAATTGGGAATTCGAAAAATTGGAAAGGTGAAAAATTGGCCTTTCAAAAATTGAAGAAACGAAAAATCTAGAAATTGAAAAAATGAAAAATTGAGCAATTTACAAAATTTAGATATTATGTAGAATTTTCTTAACAACACAAATTTCTAACGACTTTCGTAGTAGAACTTAAGTAAAATGAGAAAGATTCAAATTTTTGAAAAACCAAGATCGTGTTGAGGATATACCCAGTATGTGCACATATGCTTCGACCCGAAGATTCGACTTTTTGTTTAATTTTTCTATAACAGACATCCGTGATTATTTTGTAGCATAGTTTCAATTAATTATTGAGAATATTCGGAGCATATATTCTAAATCGTAAACATTGAGAACACTTAAAAAAATACTGAGAATATGAAATTCGAGGAATAGCCAATGGATACTTATGTAGCTGTACCACGAACATTAGAATATCAGATAAACAAAAAATAATAATAAAAAATAAAAAACCCCTTGGCACGCACTCAGATGGTGTCGGATAAGATCATTCAGGTCCAGCGGATTTTTTCAATATCAACAAGATATTTTATTTTTCCTTTGAAACAGTCTAATTTTAGTCCTCTTTAATCTCATCAACATAACAATAAAACTTCTCCGTTATCATTTTATCATCGCCCCATCTAAGTACCCCTTACAAGATCCTTATCACCCGAATTTTATCTCTCAAAACGCCAATTAAAAGTCGCACTCATCTCGAACACGTCAAGATTGCCAACGTTCATTGTTCCATAGACTAATATCTCATTTTTACCCACTCATTCCTCCTTTGCGAAAATAATGAGTCCACAATAACGTAATAACGTAATCACCTGATAAGTCAAGCACCGGCTTACGATAATCTCCAATCTGCCGCAACAAAAAACAAAATCACTCTAATAATCCGTGCCTACGTTTCGGAGGTCAGGTACGCACCTCCAGTCTCACTTTTGCAAAAAAATCGGCCGTAATCCGTCAAAATTGACGGACTGATTAAAAAATAAGATCCGATTACCGGCTGGGTGTATTAATAAAATTGAAACCAAAAGCGAATCGACAGGTTCTGTCATTGCGGCTTGGCGGACCAGTCCCACGCAGAAATTCTTCTACTTGGACGGGAAAATCGTTACTTGGGCGATTAATCCACTTGCCTACACTTGTTACCTTCAATGAAATGCCATAGTTCACCCACGGGTGGAGGTTGGAGTGTGGAGCCCGAGCGACAAGTGTCACATTGTACTGTAGTATATATCTTTCTCATTTTACAAAATTTCTACTACAAAAATGATTTTTTAGAGCCATATGCTCAGAATATTCTCCTTGGACATCGATTCGATTCCAAACCCATGAATCACAAACCCATATCTAAGGAAAATTTAATGAAGAAAGTCACCGTCAACCAGCGATCAATACAAGAACACAGCCACCTATTTATACAAACAACGTCCTTCGTTCTTCACAATAGAATCTAACTTTACCCATTTCCACACCGTCAACGCAATTCCGACACTCAAAGCCATTGTTTCGCTAACAATCCGACAAAATCAATGATCTAAGCAAGAATTTCTTACTTTTCCTAATTAATTTCGATTTCTTCCATCTCATTATCCCGCCATTTCCTCCATCCACCGGGAAAGTTCCCATGGCAATAAACCCAGCAACTCACACGCCAGCTATTTCTAAATTAGTACCGTATTTAAATACAATGAAGGCGCCAAACTCGGTACGAAGAACCCCATTATCGTCAATTAAACCCATGACTAACGTGCACCGGAAAGATCACCGATACGACCCTGGACACTTGCGTCAAACCCCCAATCAATTGGCGTCGATTTAATTGCATGCAATTAGTCAAGTTTCACTTTTTTTCGAACGCGCACGTCCGGTCCTGGAATAAGTCGTGTGATAAACAAACAACAGTTAGGCCATTGTTTTGGAGACAATTGAACGGTGGTTCGGTGCTTCGTAGCCAGCTCGGATGAATGAGTAAGACGTAAGTGAAAAACGCGTGAGAACGGCCATAAAGTGACTTGTAGTTTCGGATGGGCGGGTCCTGGCCTGCAATCGATGGGATAATGAATGGGAGAATGTAATCGTATGCTCGTTTAGCACCTACACGCACGGTTTGGGCTTTGTTGGACCGGCGATTAGGATCGGATATGAGTGATGGCGCCCAAATTGGACGGCTAATTAGGGAGTTTGAAGGACGTGGAAATGACCGGAGCCGGCCCTGGGGAGAGGCATAGAGAGACGGCTGGGTTTTTTCGGGTTTTAATGATTAGTAAATTGGGCGGCGAGAGGCAATAAACCCGGACTAAGTAATTGGTAATAGAATTTTATTAAGACGCTACATGGTTCAGTTAGACGAATTATGAATTCCAGAATTTCAGAATTCTGAATAAATTTTGGAACTCAATTTTTAGGATGAAGGATTGCAGGAATGATGACTTCAGAAACAACACCTTCAAAATTTAGGTTTCTGAATACGAAATTTCAAGATTTAGAATTTTAAGATTGATTCAAAATTCACAATTTGAGCATTTGCGATTTCTGGATTGAGTATTTAAGAATTTAAAATTTCATCAGTCCATTTTATGAGAGTCAGGACTTCTAGAATTTAAATGTTTAATATTCAGCATTTTAGTACTCGGAATTTCAGGTTTCAGCATTTCATTTCAGGAATCAGAATTTTGAATTTGAGAGTTCATGATATCAGTATTGTGAATTTAAAAATTTCCGAAACTGGGATTTTAGGATTTAGGATTTTAAGCTCTTTGAGTTAGCATTATTTAATTCAGTAAAAAATGAAAACATGGTTTTGTATTTAGGGTCTCAGAATTTCATATTTCGAAATTTTAGGATCATAGTACTCAGGATTTCAAGATTTAGAATTTTAGGATTATCTTTTGCGAATCCGGGTTTTAGGATTCAGCGTTTTCTAAAATATGAATTCCAGAATTTCAGAATACACCTTACAAATTTAGATGTCCGAACATGGAATTGCAAGATTTAGAATTTCAGGATCGATTCAAAGTTCACAATTTCAATATCTGAGATTGAGGTTTCTGCAATGACTATTTCAGGGTTTGAAATTTCTTGAGTCTATGTTATGAAATTCAGGATTTTAGGTTTAGGATTCGGTGTTTTAGAATTTAAATATTTGATATACACCATTTGAATAGTCGGAATTTCAAGTTTCAGAGAGAGTTCAGGATTTCAGGGTGTTAGGACTAGCATATCCAAATTCACTTTTTTAGGAATTTGCCTTTCGTATTTCAGGTTTATGAAATTCAAGACTTGTATTAAAATATTCCTGTATCTAGGGTTTCAGAATTTCAAATTTTGGGATCATAGAACTCAGGATTTCAAGATTTAGAATTTTACGATTATGTTTTGCGAATCCGCGTTTCAGGATTCAGCGTTTTCTGAAATATGAATTTCAGAATTTCAGAACTTGGAATTTCTGAATTCAATTTTTAGGATTTAGGATTTCAGGAATGACGATTTCAAGCACTACACCTTACAAATTTAAATGTCCGAACACGGAATTGCAAGATTTAGAATTTTAGGATCGATACAAAATTCACAATTTCAATATCTGAGATTGATATTTCTGCAATGACTATTTCAGGGTTTGAAATTCCTTGAGTCTATGTTATGAAATTCAGGATTTTAGGTTTAGGACATGGTGTTTTACAATTTAAATATTTAATATACACCATTTTAGTAGTCGAAATTTCAAGTTTCAGAGAAAGTTCAGGGTTTCAGGCTTTTAGGATTAGCAAATTCGAATTCACATTTTCAGGAATTGGCATTTCATATTTCGGGGTTTTAAAATTCAAAAATTCCCGTATTTAGGGTTTCAGAATTTTAAATTTTAGGATCACAGTACTCAGGACTTCAAGATTTAGAATTTTAAGATTACGATTTGCAATCGGCGTTTTAGGATTCAGGGTTTTCTAAATCACGAATCCCAGAATTTCAGAATTTGGAATTTTTTGATTCAATTTTTGTGATTTAAGATTGCACGAATGAAAATTTCCGTAACTACACCTTAAAAATTTGGTTGTGTGAACACGGAATTGAAGATTTAGAATTTTTGGATTGATTCAAAATTCACAATTTCAGTATTTGAGATTGAAATTTCTGGAATGAGTATTTCAGGGTTTGAAATTTCATGAGTCTATGTTATGAAATTCAGGATTTTAGGTTTAGGACTCGATGTTTTAGAATTTTAAGGTATGATGTACAGCTTTTTGGGACTCGAAATTTCAAGTTTCAGAGAAAGTTCAGGGTTTCAGGCTTTTAGGATTAGCAAATTCGAATTCACTTTTTCAGGAATTGGCATTTCATATTTCGGGGTTTCAAAATTCAACAATTCCTGTCTTTAGGGTTTCCGAATTTTAAATTTTAGGTTCATAGTACTCAGGACTTCAAGATTTAGAATTTTAAGACTACGATTTGCGAATCGGCGTTTTAGGATTCAGGGTTTTCTAAATTACGAATCCCAGAATTTCAGAATTTGGAATTTTTTGATTTAATTTTTATGATTTAAGATTGCACGAATGACGATTTCCGTAACCGCACCTTAAAAATTTGGTTGTGTGAACGGAATTGTAAGATTTAGAATTTTTGGATTGATTGAAAATTCACAATTTCAGTATTTGAGATTGAGATTTCTGGAATGAGTATTTCAGGGTTTGAAATTTCATGAGTCTATGTTATGAAATTCAGGATTTTAGGTTTAGGATTCGGTGTTTTAGAATTTAAATGTTTGATATACAGCATTTTAGGACTCGAAATTTCAAGTTTCAGAGAGAGTTCAGGATTTCAGGCTTTTAGGATTAGCAAATTCGAATTCACTTTTTCAGGAATTTGCATTTCATATTTCGAGGTTTTAAAATTCAACAATTCCCGTATTTAGGGTTTCAGAATTTTAAATTTTAGGATCATAGTACTCAGGACTTCAGAATTCAGAATTTCGAAATTATAATTTTTTAATCGGCGTTTTAGAATTCAAGGTCTCTCGAATTATGAATCCCAGAATTTCAGAATTTGGAATTTTTGAATTCAATTTTTAGGATCTAGAATTGCAGGAATGACTATTTCGGGAACTACATGTTTAATATGCAACACGTGCGTACCTGAAATTTCAAGTTTCAGAGAGAATTCAGGATTTCAGGCTTTTAGGATTAACATATTCGAATTCACTTTTTTAGGAATTTGCATTTCCTATTTCAGGCTTTTAAAATTCAAGGTTTGTATTTATTATTCCCACGTCTAGAGTTTCAGAAATTCAGGATTGCAAATTTTAGGATCATAGTACTCAAGATTTCAGAATTCAGAATTTCGAGAATATGATTTGTGAATCGGCGTTTTAGAATTCAGGATCTCTAGAATTATGAATCCCAGAATTTCAGAATTTGGAATTTTTGAATTCAATTTTTAGGATCTAAGATTGTAGGAATGACGATTTCGGGAACTACATGTTTAATATACAACACTTTAGTACCCGAAATTTCAAGTTTCAGAGAGAATCCAGGATTTCAGGCTTTTAGGATTAGCATATTCGAATTCGCTTTTTTAGGAATTTGCATTTCCTATTTCAAGGTTTTAAAATTCAAGGTTTGTTTTTATTATTCCCACGTCTAGAGTTTCAGAAATCCAGGATTGCAAATTTTAGGATCATAGTTCTCAAGATTTCAGAATTCAGAATTTAGAGATTACGATTTGTGAATCGTCGTTTTAGAATTCAGGATCTCTAGAATTATGAATCCCAGAGTTTCAGAATTTGGAATTTTTGAATTCAATTTTTAGGATCTAAGATTGCAGGAATGACGATTTCGGGAACTACATGTTTAATATACAACACTTTAGTACCCGAAATTTCAAGTTTCAGAGAAAATTCAGGATTTCAGGCTTTTAGGATTAACATATTCGAATTCACTTTTTTAGGAATTTGCATTTCCTATTTCTGGGTTTTAAAATTCAAGGTTTGTATTTATTATTCCCACGTCTAGAGTTTCATAAATTCAGGATTGCAAATTTTAGGATCATAGTACTCAAGATTTCAGAATTCAGAATTTCGAGATTACGATTTGTGAATCGTCGTTTTAGAATTCAGGATCTCTAGAATTATGAATCCCAGAGTTTCAGAATTTGGAATTTTTGAATTCAATTTTTAGGATCTAGGATTGCAGGAATGACTATTTCGGGAACTACATGTTTAATATACAACACTTTCGTACCCGAAATTTCAAGTTTCAGAGAGAATTCAGGATTTCAGGCTTTTGGGATTAACATATTCGAATTCACTTTTTTAGGAATTTGCATTTCCTATTTCTGGGTTTTAAAATTCAAGGTTTGTATTTATTATTCCCACGTCTAGAGTTTCATAAATTCAGGATTGCAAATTTTAGGATCATAGTACTCAAGATTTCAGAATTCAGAATTTCGAGATTACGATTTGTGAATCGTCGTTTTAGAATTCAGGATCTCTAGAATTATGAATCCCAGAGTTTCAGAATTTGGAATTTTTGAATTCAATTTTCAGGATCTAGGATTGCAGGAATGACTATTTCGGGAACTACATGTTTAATATACAACACTTTCGTACCCGAAATTTCAAGTTTCAGAGAGAATTCAGGATTTCAGGCTTTTGGGATTAACATATTCGAATTCACTTTTTTAGGAATTTGCATTTCCTATTTCTGGGTTTTAAAATTCAAGGTTTGTATTTATTATTCCCACGTCTAGAGTTTCATAAATTCAGGATTGCAAATTTTAGGATCATAGTACTCAAGATTTCAGAATTCAGATTTCGAGATTATGATTTGTGAATCGGCGTTTTAGAATTCAGGATCTCTAGAATTATGAATCCCAGAATTTCAGAATTTGGAATTTTTGTATTCAATTTTTAGGATCTAGGATTGCAGGAATGACGAGTTCGGGAACTACATGTTTAATATGCAACACGTGCGTACATGAAATTTCAAGTTTCAGAGAGAATTCAGGATTTCAGGCTTTTGGGATTAACATATTCGAATTCACTTTTTTAGGAATTTGCATTTCCTATTTCAGGCTTTTAAAATTCAAGGTTTGTATTTATTATTCCCACGTCTAGAGTTTCAGAAATTCAGGATTGCAAATTTTAGGATCATAGTACTCAAGATTTCAGAATTCAGAATTTCGAGAATATGATTTGTGAATCGGCGTTTTAGAATTCAGGATCTCTAGAATTATGAATCCCAGAATTTCAGAATTTGGAATTTTTGTATTCAATTTTTAGGATCTAAGATTGCAGGAATGACGATTTCGGGAACTACATGTTTAATATACAACACTTTAGTACCCGAAATTTCAAGTTTCAGAGAGAATCCAGGATTTCAGGCTTTTAGGATTAGCAAGGTTTTAAAATTCAAGGTTTGTATTTATTATTCCCACGTCTAGAGTTTCAGAAATTCAGCATTGCAAATTTTAGGATCATAGTATTCAAGATTTCAGAATTCAGAATTTCGAGATTATGATTTGTGAATCGGCGTTTTAGAATTCAGTGTTTTTGAAATTATGAATTTCAGAATTTCAAAACTGTGAATTTGGGAATCCAATTTTTAGGATGGAAGATTGCAGAAATGATGACTCCGGGAACTACACCTTGGAAATTTAGGTTTCTGAATACAGAATTTCAGGATTTTGTATTTTTATTAATTACATTATTATAGTATGTATTTTCTAGTAAAATTTCTCCCTTTTAAGTTTTAAATTTAGTCTAAATTATGTGTATTGAAAGCTGAATTCTTATAAAATCTTAACCAAAAGTAGCAATAATTTCCTCATCTGCGTTGCGGTAAATGTTTATAATTATTTAAACAAACATTGCAAACGTGTGTGTGATTTTCTACTTTCATCAATCAATCCATCAGCGACTCCTCGTCCTTGAATTTATTTAAATCGACCCCATCACGAGAACAATTCTAAAACTCCATTGTTAAAATTAGTACTTCCCCCCTCAGATTATCGCAACAAAGCACCTTATTTTTAGTCTTAAACATGTCACCACTCCTGCCAACCCATTTCATCCAATTCCCCCACGTCACTCGCCTTATCACCACTGACGTTTCCATTATCCAACACCCAGCGGAAATGCATCAACCTCCACGATAAGCCGTCCCCGCCGGCCACCGGGTCACAACCTAACCTCATTCCCCCCGGCCCCAGAACCGTACTCGCGTTTTTCGCAGCCCGCGAAAGCAAAAACCACTTTCCCCAAAGGCCAATAATCCATAACCCGTTCGGCGTAATATCAGTCATAATCTAACGAGAACCACACGAAATACCATTTATCAGAGTACGTGCTTGGTATAATTACGTAATTAAACAGCTGAACGTGTGGGTTTTATTCATGCCGGTGGAATTTCAATGCAGAATCGATTGGGAACGAATGTCGGGAGGTTGGTGGCGGCGACGTCTCGCCGCCATCGATCGGGAATAAAGGTGAGTAATTCGGGACTCACCATCTCGTCTAGGCTCTTGAGGTCGTTGGTCACGATTTGGGGGACGGGGCCGTACATGAGCACGGGCTCCTCGTCCTCCATGTCGCTGTCGTCGTCGTCGAGGCTGCTGTGGTCCTGGAGGCCCTCGTTGAAGCCGAGCTTCTTCTGGTCGGCGGCGATCTCGCGGTCGATTTGGCGCTCCATCTGGACGAGCATGGGGGCGAGCATGCCGAATCTGAAAGAAAAAAGACCCAAAATTGACCAAAATTCGTATTTTGATTTTTTTTGGAATTTTTTGACGAATCGAAAATTTGTTCAAATTTTGACTTTCTCTCACTATAAAAAAAAGAAGAAATGTGCTATTCTGAAAATGTTAAAGAATTACGTTTCTTAGACAAAATTTTGGGTAAACCACGAATTTCAGCTAATATGAGATCTCTCATCCTGTAAAAGAGAAAAAGACATTTTCTGAAAAATCAAAAATTTTTCTCAATTTTGCTCCATTGAGGCGGAAAAAAATTGGTTATTTTTTCCTATTTTATGCAAAATTTGCCGTAAATAACAAAAAATAGGACGGCTTTATTGTGGAGATATTTTTTGAAATAAGATAGAAAATGTCTTTTTTGACGAATCGAAAATTTCTTCGAATTTTGACTTTCTCTCATCATCAAAAAAAAAAAAAAGAAAAAATGTACTATTCTGAAAATTGTTAAAGAATTACGTTTCTTAGACAAAATTTTGGGTAAGCCACGAATTTCAGCTAATATGAGTTCTCTCATCCTGTAAAAGAGAAAAAGACATTTTCTGGAAAATCGAAAATTTTTCTCATTTTGTTCCATTGAAGCGGAAAAAAATTGGTTGTTTTTTCCTATTTTATGCAAAATTTGCCGTAAATAACAAAAAATAGGACGGCCTTATTGTGGAGATATTTTTTGAAATAAGATAGAAAATGTCTTTTTTGACGAATCGAAAATTTGTTCGAATTTTGACTTTCTCTCATCATCAAAAAAAAAAAAAAAGAAAAAATGTACTATTCTGAAAATTGTTAAAGAATTACGTTTCTTAGACAAAATTTTTGGTAAACCACGAATTTCAGCTAATATGAGATCTCTCATCCTCTAAAAGAGAAAAAGACATTTTCTGAAAAATCGAAAATTGTTCTCAATTTTGTTCCATTGAAGCGGAAAAAATCGGTTATTTTTTCCTATTTTATGCGAAATTTGCCGTAAATAACAAAAAATAGGACGTCCTTATTGTGGAGATATTTTTTGAAATAAGAGAGAAAATGTCTTTTTTGACGAATCGAAAATTTGTTCGAATTTTGACTTTCTCTCATCATCAAAAAAAAAAGAAAAATGTGCTATTCTGAAAATTGTTAAAGAATTACGTTTCTTAGACAAAATTTTGGGTAAACCACGAATTTCAGCTAATATGAGATCTCTCATCCTGTAAAAGAGAAAAAGACATTTTCTGAAAAATCGAAAATTTTTCTCAATTTTGTTCCATTGAAGCGGAAAAAATTGGTTGTTTTTTCCTATTTTATGCGAAATTTGCCGTAAATAATAAAAATTAGGACGGCCTTATTGTGGAGATATTTTTTGAAATAAGATAGAAAATGTCTTTTTTGACGAATCGAAAATTTGTTCGAATTTTGACTTTCTCTCATCATCAAAAAAAAAAGAAAAATGTACTATTCTGAAAATTGTTAAAGAATTACTTTTCTTAGACAAAATTTTCCGTAAACCACGAATTTCAGCTAATATGAGATCTCTCATCCTGTAAAAGAGAAAAAGACATTTTCTGAAAAAGCGAAAATTTTTCTCAATTTTGTTCCCTTGAAGCGGAAAAAAATTGGTTGTTTTTTCCTATTTTATGCAAAATTTGCCGTAAATAACAAAAAATAGGACGTCCTTATTGTGGAGATATTTTTTGAAATAAGATAGAAAATGTCTTTTTTGACGAATCGAAAGTTTGTTCGAATTTTGACTTTCTCTCATCATCAAAAACAAAAAAAAGAAAAAATGTACTATTCTGAGAATTGTTAAAGAATTACGTTTCTTAGACAAAATTTTGGGTAAACCACGAATTTCAGCTAATATGAAATCTCTCATCCTGTAAAAAAGAAAAAGACATTTTCTGAAAAATCGAAAATTTTTCTCAATTTTGTTCCATTGAAGCGGAAAAAATTGGTTATTTTTTCCTATTTTATGCGAAATTTGCCGTAAATAACAAAAAATAGGACGGCCTTATTGTGGAGATATTTTTTGGAATAAGATAGAAAATGTCTTTTTTGACGAATCGAAAATTTCTTCGAATTTTGACTTTCTCTCAAGAGAACAAAAAATCGAAACGAAAAAATGCAAATCGAAAATTTGAAGAAATAAAAAATTAAAGAAGTTAAAAATTAAAGACTCGAAAAACTTCGAAAATCTAAAAATTGAAGAAATAAGGATAATTGAAAAAATTAAAATAGGAAAAACAAAAAATTATAAAATCGAAACATTGAAAAATCGAATAATTGAAATAATAAAGAAAATAAAGAACCGAAACGAAAAATACAAATCGAAAAATCGAAAAATTAAAAATTAAAAACCCAAGAAACTCAAATTGAAAAATTTCTAATTTCATTTTCTTGATTCTATGTCACAATTTTACGGTTTTTTTTTCAATTCTTCAAATTTTCACTCTTTGATATATATTTCAATTCCCCAATTTTCAAATTTTTAATTTTTTCTATTTTGCAATTTTTGGATTTCTTAAGTTTCTGATTTTCCGATTTCTTTAGTTTTTAATATCCCGTTGTCTCAAAAAATTGCAAATCGAAGAACTGGGAAACGGAAAACCGACATAGTGAAAAACTAAAAATCAAGAATGAAAAAATGACTCGAAAAATTGGAAAACCCAAAAATTTTAAAATCGTTCAAATTTTAAAGTCCACAGAAATATCGAAACATTGGAAAATTAAGTATGTTTCGAGAAAGTGAAAACTGAAAATTTTTAAGAATTATATTATTAGATACATGTTTAAAATGAAAACTAGAAAAATTGAAGAAACAGAAAATTGGAAAAACGGAAAATCTAAAGTTGAAAAAATGAAAAGTTTAAAATCGAATATTTGAAAATCCAAAATTTTAAAAATGTTACACTGAAAAAAATTTGAAAAATCTAAAAACTGACACATCCAAAAGTAGGAAAATGGAAAAACGGGAAAATAAAAACAAGCCTGAAGAATTGCATATCGTAAAATTGAAACAACAAAAAAAATGAAAAACTACAAATCAAAAAATTGAAGAAACAAATAATGGAAAAAACAAAAAATTATAAAATCGAAACATTGAAAAATCGAATAATTGAAGTAATAAAAAAAAGAAAGAACCGAAATGAAAACTACAAATCGAAAAATTAAAAAATTAAAAACTCAAGAAACTCAAATTGAAAAATTTCTAATTTCATTTTCTTGATCCTATATCAGAATTTTACGTTTTTTTTTCAATGTCTCGTTTATTCAATTCTTCAAATTTTCACTCTTTGATATACATATATTTTAATTTCCCAATTTTCCAATTTTTAAATTTTTCAATTTTGCAATTTTTGCATTTCTTAAGTTTCTGATTTTCCAATTTCTTTAGTTTTTAATATCCCGTTGTTTGAAAAAATTGCAAATCGAAGAACTGGGAAACGGAAAACCGACATAGTGAAAAACTAAAAATTAAGAATAAAAAAAATGACTCGAAAAATTGGAAAACCCAAAAATTTTAAAATCGTTAAAATTTTAAAGTCCACAGAAATATCGAAACATTGGAAAATTAAGTATGTTTCGAGAAAATGAAAACTGAAAATTTTTAAGAATTATATTATTAGATACATGTTTAAAATGAAAACTAGAAAATTGGAAAAACGGAAAATCTAAAGTTGAAAAAATGAAAAGTTAAAAAATCGAAAAATTGCAAATCGAAAATTTGAAAATCCAAAATTTCAAAAATGTTACACTGAAAAAAATTTGAAAAATCTAAAAACTGACACATCCAAAAGTAGGAAAATGGAAAAACGTGAAAATAAAAACAAGCCTGAAGAATTGCATATCGTAAAATTGAAACAACAAAAAAAATGAAAAACTGCAAATCAAAAAATTGAAGAAACAAATAATGGAAAAAAACAAAAAATTATAAAACAGAAGCAGTGAAAAATCGAATAATTCAAAAATAAAGAAAACAAAAAACCGAAACGAAAACTGCAAATCGAACAATCGAAAAATTAAAAACTGAAAACTGTGGAAATTTAAATCGAAAAATTGTAAAATCTAGAAATTGAAAAATTCGAAAGTTGTAAAACTGAAAAATTAATGAACTGAAAAAAAAGCTGCGGGAATGTTATTTACGCCACTGGTTCTTACTTTATAGAGGTTATCAGAAAACAAAAACTGTAACATTTTTTTTTATTTTTCAAATAAGCGGGATTTATCAGGGGCGAGGGAAGTTCCGTCGAAATAACCTTCGAGCAATTTTTATGGAAATTTGTTGATAAACCAAGAACACAACCCATTACTTGAGATATTTCTTCAGTTAAAAATGGAAAAAAAGATCTTCTGAAAAACTGAAAAATTGCTCAGAATTGATTTTTGAGATTTATCTTCAAGTAAAAGAAAAAAAACACCTTTTATTATAATTCAAAAATTGCGAAAAAAAAAATCTTCTCAAAAATTGAAAACTTGCTCAAAATTCGTTTCAACAAAAATGGAGAAAATTTATTTTTAATTGAAAAACATTTTCGCGTCTTGAGAAAAATTTAACACAAATCATAAATTCCATTCGTCGTCGAAAAAAAGCTAAAACTGTTTTTTTTTTAAATCGTATGGCAAATTTTATGTAAATTACGAAAAGGAAATTGTTTTTGAGATATTTTTTGAAATATGTAATAAAATGGAAAAGGCATTTTTTAAGTCGTCAAAATATCATTCGAATTTTCTCTTCCTATCATCACAAAAAAAGGAACAAAAATTTACTCTGAAAATTCCTTAAGTTTTTTCCTGTTTTATGCAAAATTTTTCAAAAACCAAGAACACAACCCAACATTTGAGATATTTCTTCAGTAAAAAAAAGGAAAAAAAAATCTTCTGAAAAATTGCTCAAAATTTTTTCCAACAAAAATGGAGATTAAGAGATTTTTTTTAAGTTGAAAGATACTTTGGCGTCTTACGAGAAATTTACCATAAATCACGAATACGAATTTATTTTGAAATATATTTTCAGGTGAGAGAAAAAAAGGACCCACTCCAAAATTCAAAAATTGCTCAAAATTCCATTCGTCGTCGAAAAATGGCTAAAAGTGTGTTTTTTGAAAATCGTCCAAAATTGTATAATCGTATGGCAAATTTTATGTAAATTACGAAAAGGAAATTGTTTTTGAGATATTTTTTGAAAGATGTAATAAGACGGAAAAGGCATTTTTTAAGCCGTCAAAATATCATTCGAACTTTCTCTTCCTATCATCGCAAAAAAAAGAAAGAAAAAATTGCTCTGAAAATTCCTCAAGTTTTTTCCTGTTTTATGCAAAATTTTTCAAAAACCAAGAACACAACCCAACATTTGAGATATTTCTCCAGTAAAAAGGGAAAAAGAGATCTTCTGAAAAATTGCTCAAAATTTGTTCCAACAAAAATGGAGATTAAGAGATTTTTTTTAAGTTGAAAGATACTTTGGCGTCTTACGAGAAATTTACCACAAATCACGAATACAGATTTATTTTGAAATATATTTTCAGGTAAGAGAAAAAAAAGGACCTACTCTAAAATTCAAAAATTGCTCAAAATTCCATTCGTCGTCGAAAAATGGCTAAAACTGTATTTTTTGAAAATCGTCCAAAATTGTATAATCGTATGGCAAATTTTATGTAAATTACGATAAGGAAATTGTTTTTGAGATATTTTTTGAAATATGTAATAAAATGGAAAAGGCATTTTTTAAGTCGTCAAAATATCATTCGAACTTTCTCTTCCTATCATCACAAAAAAAAAAGAAAGAAAAAATTGCTCTGAAAATTCCTCAAGTTTTTTCCTGTTTTATGCAAAATTTTTCAAAAACCAAGATCACAACCCAACATTTGAGATATTTCTCCAGTAAAAAGGGAAAAAAAGATCTTCTGAAAAATTGCTCAAAATTTGTTCCAACAAAAATAGAGATTAAGAGATTTTTTTTAAGTTGAAAGATACTTTGGCGTCTTACGAGAAATTTACCACAAATCACGAATACAGATTTATTTTGAAATATATTTTCAGGTAAGAGAAAAAAAAGGACCTACTCTAAAATTCAAAAATTGCTCAAAATTCCATTCGTCGTCGAAAAATGGCTAAAACTGTATTTTTTGAAAATCGTCCAAAATTGTATAATCGTATGGCAAATTTTATGTAAATTACGATAAGGAAATTGTTTTTGAGATATTTTTTGAAAGATGTGATAAGACGGAAAAGGCATTTTTAAGTCGTCAAAATATCATTCGAACTTTCTCTTCCTATCATCACAAAAAAAAGAACGAAAAAATTGGTCTGAAAATCGCTCAAGTTTTTTCCTGTTTTATGCAAAATTTTTCAAAAACCAAGAACACAACCCAACATTTGATATATTTCTACAGTAAAAAGGGAAAAAAAATCTTCTGAAAAATTGCTCAAAATTTGTTCCAACAAAAACGGAAATTAAGAGATTTTTTTTTAAGTTGAAAGATACTATCGCGTCTTACAAGAAATTTACCATAAATCACGAATACGAATTTATTTTGAAATATATTTTCAGATAAGAGAAAAAAAGGACCTATTCTTTCTGTATTTTTTCAATATTGCTTTTGATTTTATAATTTTTCATTCACTTCATTCTTTAAATTTTCAATTTATGGTTTTTAAATCCCCCGATTTTTCAATTTTCAAATTGTTCATCTTTGCAGTTTTTAGATTTCTCAGTTATCCGCTTTTCCGATTTTTTTATTTTTCAATATTTCGGTTTTTAAGTTTCTCAATTTTTATCTTTTGATTTTTCAATTTTTCGTTTCTACAATTTTTCAAGTTCTTGATTTCCAAATTTTAGATTTTTCAAAGTTTTCATTTTACACTTCTTTGTTTTTTTTATTTTCGATTTTTTATTTGCAACTCGTAAAAAGAAATACTAATCGATAAAATGAAAAAAGGAAAAATGACAAAATCGAAAAACTGAAAATCGAGAAAAATTGATACATTGAAAAACTAAAAATCGTAAAAAATTAATGAAACGAAAAATTGGAAAAAAGAAAAAAAATTAGAAAACCCAAAAATTCAAAAATCGAATAAAAGTAAGTTTTAAAATGCAATAATTGAAAAATGGAAAAATTCTAAAATCGTATGATTGAAAAAGGGATTTTTTTTTTAAATTACATCTAATAAATATTAGATACATATTTAAAATAAAAACCTGAAAAATTGAAAATCAAAAGCTAAAGAAACGAAAAATAGAAAATCAAGAAAATGGAAAATCTAAACTGAAAAATGAAGCATTAAAAAATCCAAAAGTTGAACTAAAAACCGAAAAATTGAAACATCCAAAAATTGATTTCACACTGCAAAAAATATTAGAAAACCAGAACATTGAAAAACATGAAAATTGAAAAAATGAGGAAAATAAAGAGTCCAAACAAGAAATTGTAAATCCATAAATTGAAGAAATAAAAAATTGAAAAATCTAGAAATTAAAAAAAAATAAAAACTGAAAATTCGTAAAATTCCAAATCGAAAAATTGCAAAACCTGAAACTGAAATATCCAAAATTTGGAAAATCGTAAAACTGAAAAATTTTTAACTGAAAACTCACAGAGGTGCATATCGTAGAATTGAAGAAACAAAAAAATGAAAAACTGAAAAACTGCAAATCATAAAATTGAAAAAATTGAAATTGAAAAACAGAAAAAAATTAAAATCGAACATTGAAAAATCGAAAAACTGTAAAAATAAAGAAAACAAAAAATCGAAACGAAAAAATGCAAATCGAAAATTTGAATAAATAAAAAATTAATGAAGTTAAAAATTGAAGACTCGAAAAATTTTAAATCGAAAAATCTAAAAATTGAAGAAATAAGGATAATTGAAAAAATTAAAATAGGAAAAACAAAAAATTATAAAATCGAAACATTGAAAAATCGAACAATTGAAATAATAAAGAAAATAAAGAACCGAAACGAAAACTACAAATCGAAAAATTTCTAATTTCATTTTCTTGATTCTATGTCACAATTTTACGGTTTTTTTTTTCAATTCTTCAAATTTTCACTCTTTGATATATATTTCAATTCCCCAATTTTCCAGTTTTTAATTTTTTCAATTTTGCAATTTTTGGATTTCTTAAGTATCTGATTTTCCGATTTCTTTAGTTTTTAATATCCCGTTGTTTCAAAAAATTGCAAATCGAAGAACTGGGAACCGGAAAACCGACATAGTGAAAAACTAAAAATCAAAAATGAAAAAATTACTCGAAAAATTGGAAAACCCAAAAATTTTAAAATCGTTAAAATTTTAAAGTCCACAGAAATATCGAAACATTGGAAAATTAAGTATGTTTCGAGAAAGTGAAAACTGAAAATTTTTAAGAATTATATTACTAGATACATGTTTAAAATGAAAACTAGAAAAATCGAAGAAACAGAAAATTGGAAAAACGGAAAATGTAAAGTTGAAAAAATGAAAAGTTAAAAAATCGAAAAATTGCAAATCGAAAATTTGAAAATCCAAAATTTCAAAAATGTTACACTGAAAAAAATTTGAAAAATCTAAAAACTGATACATCCAAAAGTAGGAAAATGGAAAAACGGGAAAATAAAAACAAGCCTGAAGAATTGCATATCGTAAAATTGAAACAACAAAAAAAAATGAAAAACTGCAAATCAAAAAATTGAAGAAACAAATAATGGAAAAAACGAAAAATTATAAAACAGAAGCAGTGAAAAATCGAATAATTCAAAAATAAAGAAAACAAAAAACCGAAACGAAAACTGCAAATCGAACAATCGAAAAATTAAAAACTGAAAAATGTGGAAATTTAAATCGAAAAATTGTAAAATCTAAAAATTGAAAAATTCGAAAGTTGTAAAACTTGAGACGTAAATTGACGTAATACAGTGGAAAAGACATTTTTTAAGCAGTCAAAATATCATTCCATTTTTATTTTCCTGTCACCATAAAAAAATGAAACAAAAAATTGTTGTGAATATTTCTTTAATTAAAAGGGGAAAAAGAAGATCGTTTGAAAAGTTAAAACATTTTTAACTAAAATTCAAAAATTGCTCAAAATTCGTCAAAAAAATGACAAAAGCTACAATGTATTTTTGACAAGACAAAATTTGTTCGAATTTTATCTTCCATTCATCATCATCATAAAAAAAAATAGCCCCAATTTTTTGTAAACTTACTTGGCAGCCCTCCTCCCCACCTCCAGCAGACACAAAATAACATGCTTCTCGTTCTTCCTCATGATCAAATCGTCCGACTCGAACAACAGACACTCTATAATCTGCAAGGAGTTCCGGCACCACTGGATAAAGTTACAAACGTTATCCCTCGCGAAGAACGTCTGCGGCTTAGCAGTGGCAAAGTACTTCACTTCCGGAATATTGACCAGATTCATCGCTTGCGCCAGGTTTCCCGTCACCGACTTCGTCATGATCTTCTTCGACTGCTTCTTCTCGATGTACTCGGAAGCCTGCAGCTTCACCGCATTAGCGTGCTGCAAAAAAAACAAAAATAACCATCAACTCGACCAGATAATCACACTAAACGTAAATTTCTTTATAATGACGAGCCGTGAGTCAGAGGCGGCGGAAGCGTTTCGTAACTTCCTGCGGGACTACTCGAAAATCCGTTCAGACCACACACAGAAAAAAAAAATAGTTGCATATTTGTACTTTGTACACTAAAACGGTAAATTACTCGTATTATTATTATTATTGTTATTATTGTCAAGGCTGGTCGGATCCTCGCTCGATTTTCGCGAATCGGTCCAGGGCCGGCTAACGCGGTCCTAGAACTTATTTCGAACCGCGACAAGTGTTCGTGTCAAGGTGGCCGCGATGTCGCCATATAAGGAAGCGCGTCCAGTGAAAGTGGCAACACCGGTCCATGGCCACCCCGTAATCGAATTTCGCGCCAAAAATGTACCGTATCGGACCTTGCCTTGTGAGTCAGATCACAAAAACAAAGATGGTTTGTCATCGAAAATCGCCTCAATAACACGGACATATAAGGCGAATATCCTTCCGAACAAAAGGACATTCCGAGATATTTACGGCGGCTGTGCGCGCGAGCTACGGTAATAACGCGGCGCCAACTAGATTTTTCGTTTCCCTATATGGACTAGGTTGGACAGCCTTGGCTGCGATTTATGCGGGATCTGAGGTCGATCAGGTATCGATACGGCTGCTCCAATGTCACGGATGTGGAGTGAGTCAATCTCCCCTCGGGCGCCATCTTGTGGATGCGGCTTCCCCTCGCGCCGCCATTATAGCGAACATTGTTTTCGTGCTAATGGACCCCAAAATATGCACGGACATCTCGAAAAACAAGTTAATATGAATTTATAGACGGGTCTGAAATATTGGCGGGTTCAATGGAACCATATCGCGACATGTTTGCGACGTTGAACCCTTGTACCAGGATTGAAAAGAAAGTGTTATAATAATCGTAATTAGGCGCGTAGTCGTCCTGACGCAACAATTGCTTTTATTGTTTCCATATGAGTCAAGAGTAAACTTTTCGCAAGATTCGAGCACTTAACAAGCGCGTTTATTATGGACAATAAAATGGTAACAGCGCTTGGGTAAAGACAATTATTGCCCACTTCCCTACTAAAAGTGGAAAAGTCGCCGTAACCAAACTATTGCACGTTTCCGCTCCTGGTTTCATCACCGGTCCTCCCCTCTGACGCCATTAAGGTCTCTGTATTCTAATTGGTTCACCCCCTTATCACGTGACTTTTGTTCTAGTTACGTGTTCGCTTCTCCTCTGGAGCCATTTCAACCTTCGTAATCTAATTGGTTGTCGCTCTTGTCACGATTTATCCCCGACTGTCTTTGTATTTACCTCCCCTACGAAGTTATTAGTTTCCCATTTGTTAAATCTCTCACTAATTCTTAAAATTGAAGACACGATCTTGAGGGGTTTGTAACCTGACTGACTCCTACCCCGATCAAGAGTTTGCCTCTCCTCTGGCGCCATTACAGTCTTCGTAATTTGATTGGTTGTCGTCCTTTTATTATCTGGTTATCGCCAAAAGCAAGTTTTATCCGTTAATAATTCTTAAAAAGGGAGACACGATCTTGAGGGGTTTTTGTAACCTGATTGGCTTCCGCAATGATCACGTGTTAGCCTCCCCTCTGGAGCCATCACTGTTTTTGCGCTTTCGTTAATTTACCCACTGTTGACTCGTCTACCTCCCCTCTGGAGCCACTTCAGTCTTTGGAATCTAATTGGTTGTCGCCCTTGTCACGATTTATCCCCGACTGTCTTTGTATTTACCTCCCCTACGAAGTTAATAGTTTCCCATTTGTTAAATCTCTCACTAATTCTTAAAATTGAAGACACGATCTTGAGGGGTTTGTAACCTGACTGATTCCTACCCCAATCAAGAGTTTGCCTCTCCTCTGGCGCCATTACAGTCTTCGTAATCTGATTGGTTGTCGTCCTTTTATTATCTGGTTATCGCCAAAAGCAAATTTTATTCGTTAATAATTCTTAAAATGGGAGACGCGATCTTGAGGGGTTTTTGTAACCTGATTGGCTTTCGCAATGATCACGTGTTAGCCTCCCCTCTGGAGCCATCACTGTTTTTGCGCTCTCGTTAATTTACCCACTGATGACTCGTCTACCTCCCCTCTGGAGCCACTTCAGTCTTCGGAATCTAATTGGTTTTCGCCCTTGTCACGATTTATCCCCGACTCTCTTTGTATTTACTTCTCCTACGAACTTATCAGTTTCTCATTTGTTAAATCTCTCACTAATTCTTAAAATTGAAGACACGATCTTGAGGGGTTTGTAACCTGACTGACTCCTACCCCGATCAAGAGTTTGCCTCTCCTCTGGCGCCATTACAGTCTTCGTAATCTGATTGGTTGTCGTCCTTTTATTATCTGGTTATCGCCAAAAGCAAGTTTTATCCGTTAATAATTCTTAAAATGGGAGACGCGATCTTGAGGGGTTTTTGTAACCTGATTGGCTTTCGCAATGATCACGTGTTAGCCTCCCCTCTGGAGCCATCAGAGCTTTTGCGTTCTCATTGATTATCCACTGATGAGTCGTCTACCTCCCCTCTGGAGCCATTTCGGTCTTTGGAATCTAATTGGTTGTCGCCCTTGTCACCATTTATCCCCGACTGTCTTTGTATTTACCTCCCCTACGAAGTTATTAGTTTCCAATTTGTTAAATCCTTCAATAATTCTTAAAATTGAAGACACGATCTTGAGGGGTTTGTAACCAGACTGACTCCTACCCCGATCAAGAGTTTGCCTCTCCTCTGCCGCCATTACAGTCTTCGTAATCTCATTGGTTGTCGTTCTTGTCATCTTCTATCCCCGACTGTCTTTGTATTTACTTCCCCTAGGAAGTCATTAGCGTCCGATTTATTAATTGGTTATAGCCAAAAGCAAACTTTCTCCCTTAATAATTCTTAAAATGGAAGACACAATCTTGGAGGGTTTGTGACCTGATTGGATTTCGTCATGATCACGTGTTAGCCTCCCCACTGGAATCATTTCAGTCTTTGTAATCTAATTGGTTGTCGCCCTTGTCACGATTTATCCCCTACTGTCTTTGTATTTACCTCCCCTCCGAAATTATTACTTTCCCGTTTATTAAATGTCTCAATAATTCTTAAAATTGAAGACACAGTCTTAGGTAGTTTGAAACCTGACAGACTTCTGCCCTGATCATGTGTTTGCCTCTCCTCTGTCGCCATTACAGTCTTCGTAATCTCATTGGTTGTCGTTCTTGTCATCTTCTATCCCCGACTGTCTTTGTATTTACTCCCCTACGAAGTCATTAACGCCCTATTTATTAACTATTTATAGCCAAAAGTAAACTTTCTCCCTTAATAATTCTTAAAATGGAAGACACAATCTTGGGGGGTTTGTGACCTGACTGGATTTCGTCGTGATCACGTGTTAGCCTCCCCTCTGGAGCCATTTCAGTCTTCGTAATCTAATTGGTTGTCGCCCTTGTCACGATTTATCCCCTACTGTCTTTGTATTTACCTCCCCTCCGAAATTATTACTTTCCCGTTTATTAAATCTCTCAATAGTTCTTAAAATTGAAGACACAATCTTAGATAGTTTGAAACCTGACAGACTTCTGCCATGATCATGTGTTTGCCTCTCCTCTGTCGCCATTACAGTCTTCGTAATCTCATTGGTTGTCGTTCTTGTCATCTTCTATCCCCCACTGTCTTTGAATTTACTCCCCTATGAAGTCATTGGCGTGCCATTTATTAACTTCTTATTGCCAAAAGCAAACTTTATCTCCTAATAATTCTTAAAAATGAAGACACGATGTTGGGGGTTTTTATAACCTCTGACGCCGTCAGTGTTTTTGCAAGACCACGTGTTCGCCTCCCCTCCGGCGCCATTCCCGCTCGTGCCGCATTGGCTGTCCCCTCGTCACGTGTCTGCCTCCCCTTATCCGCCATTTTGCGTAAACTCCCCCCGCGGCGTCCGTTCTTCGATTAAATCGGATCGCTGGTCAATTTTCGCCTCTAGCGCCGCGCATAATTCCGCCACAACATAACACAATTGATTCAGCCGCCCACGCTTTCTAGCTCGCGGTTCCCATACCTCAGGAATTCAACGACTTGACGCAGAGCCGCCTTCCTAAAAATGGCGATTTTCCCTGAACAAATACACATGTAAAACACATGTCGTCGCGACCTTTGCCGCATATGCTAATCGCGTCGCTCGAATCCGTTACGGCTGCACATTTAAAAAGTAATTAAATATGCAGCAGCCGCTTACTCTGCCGGATGTCGGACGCGATATTGCGCTTCCGCCCTACCAAATGGACAGAGGAAGCGCGAGTGTATGGTCAAGATGGCCGCCGGAGGGGAGGCGCACCCCCGCTGTCAAGGTCCCGGGGTCGTCGACCGGATTCGCCAAGACGCCTCTGTTTGGTTATCGATTTCACGTTAGAGCCCAGCTGTCTGCCAACGCACGTTTTCTCGGCGTGCCAGCAATCCGCGATCAGCTGGTGCCCCCCGGCGCGGCCTACTTCGATGTGAAACTATGCGGCGAAAAAATGGCGCCCGGAGGGGAAGCATCCCCTCCGCACCTGTCGCGCGCATGAGTGTTGTCCGAAACGTTGAACCGCGGGCTAATTTATGTTAATCGGGACCAATTTAGACCGGCTCCTGTCGCTTTTGTTTAATTGAAGCGCTGGAAATAGAACTCGTTAGCGCGGAAAAAAGACAATCGGACACGACAACGCTCTTAATACGCGTTTACAGTTGGCTGTGATTAATGGCGGCGGAGGGGAGGCCGAAATGGCACGAGTGGACAAGAAAGTGTCAATATTTGCGTTGCGTAGCTAAGTACACAGACATTTCGATTTTGAGTACTAATAAAGTTGTGAAAGTCCTAATGCGCGGCTATTACGATGTGATTTATGCCCGAGCTTTGACAGATGAATGCAGGACCGGCCTTAATCGCTTCGACCTTGGCGACGGCATTCTGTTGTTTATTCGCAATC